CATTGTAACATGTTTATATAAAGGTGTTTTAAAGATTCCATTTTAGGGCTTGCTATTGTGATGGTCTATAGGCTTCCATAGACCATCATGGACTATAGCAAGTCTTTAAAGTTTAAATAAACTTAAGTTAAGGCTGAGGTTTCAATTTCATTTGAATGAACTTCAGCTTCCTCAAATGTCAAAGAGACGCAGAGTGTGTCTGCAACCAGTGAGCAGCAAACCAGCACTCAATGAAGCCCTTCAAGAAAAAAATAGAAGATGACGAAGAGCATTCTCCTTCTCGACCTTGAGTTCACACCTTCCGCTGCCCTCTCTCTCTCTTCTTTTTTCCTAGGTTTTTCATGGTTATTCACCATGAGAGAGAAATAGGGTTATTGCATATCTGAATCAAGATGAGAGAAATTTCTTCAAAGTTTCATAAGCTGAACATCCTGCTTCCAAGAAAAAGATATTTCAGCACATGATCACTCTTGTGCTTGGTTAGATCCTGAAGTTGTACTCCAGCTCCAGGTACACAAGCTAAAACGTAAAACCCTCTTCTTTTTTTATCAAAAAACCCTCTTCTTTTCCCCCCTTTAACGTCTCTTTTTGTTTGATATGAGATGTTTGTAGTTCACATATATGCTGAATATTTCGATATATTATATATATATTTTTTTTGGAACGATATTGTCGACATTTATCGAAATGGTCGAAATATCGACCAACATATTGTATTTCTTTTAATTCATGTAAAATTTATGTCGCTGGGTCTCGACACCGACATATGTTGGGTGACATTTCGCGACATTTTAAACCATGTTTACAATACATATTACAGACCAATGGTGATATGCAGGTATGCGTAACACTTTTTTCAGGGCTTTAAGGGTTTCCTGCAATCATTTTCTCTTCACATTCACCATACCTTTTTTACTTTTTACATGTGGCACGTGCAGAATAAGGTTTTCCTCTTTTACTTTTCTTCTCCACGCCTATAAAAATACAGGGATCTTGGATCTTGCCCCTTCCATTTTTGTTTCTTCTTGTCTGTCTAGGAAAAAACAGGTTCTACACCCCTTTGTTCATTTCAACAGTATTTTTTAGAAAAATCCCTGTTCAAATCTAGTGATTTATGCTCAAATGAAATTGGAAAAAAATGCACTCTGTTAATTGCTCAAGAAATTTATGTCAACTCCCTCGATGTGTTCTGCCATGTAGTTTATATGAGCTATTGATTTTTGTGTACTTATTTTGCTACCTATATGGCATTGTTGCTTCATTGATAATTTATGACTGATGAATGATGAGGAGGTTCGGTCCTTTTTTTTTTGAGACAAGGAAAGTTTCGTTAAAAGAGGGAAGGATATACAATATGTATATAAGAATGATCTATCAGAAGCAAAACAAAAAAAAAAAAAAAACAAAACAAAAAGCCTTCCCAAGGGCATCTGCTACTGAGTTCAAATTCCTTGGAATCCACCTGAAGACACAATGGATCTGAGATTGAATAACCCTGATTTCATTGATCTGATGAGAGAATCTCCAAGGCCCCTCCTGCTGATTTAGCATCCAGCTTATGACCACCTTTGAATCACCTTCCACCACAACCAAAGAGATGTTCAAGGATTTTACACATCTCAAACCCGTCAGCAAGGCCTGTACCTCAGCTTCAACAGCTTCAGCCTCTCCATTGGGACCACTGTAGGCCCAAACTTGAGTGCCTAGAGAGATGAAAATTCTGCTACCTATACCAGCCTGACCTCTGTGATTAAATCTACTATAGCAGCTGCCATCAAACTGGACTACTGGAGGATGAAGTCTGTAGGTCTAGGGGTCACAGGAAAAGTGAGAACTCTTTCTAAACTTGAAAAACTCAGAATCAGCCCCATGTTTCTTTCTAGGTCTCCCATTGAGATGCCTTTGAACAAACTGGACACCTTCATCCAAGAGTTAATTCGGAAAAGCACCCTCCCTTTTAGCTCATCCTGGGAAGAATACTTATCTTCAAAAATTCTTTTGTTGCGTTCCTCCCAATACACCAGTAAACTATATGGATGATCGCCTTTCCGTAGAAGAGCACCTCTTTTACTTGAGGTACATCCAGGCCATTGTAAGAGGTCAGACACAGAAATTGGAGGGGTCCAGTGAAAACTACCTCTATAGAAGATGTCCAAAAAGAATTGCCAAAGGCTTCTGGCTACTTCACAATTTATAAGAAGGTGACCACATGACTCCCCATCTTTCATGCACATAACACAGATATGAGGAGCAATATAAAGGTTTCCTTTTCTCTTTCATAGGATCATATCACAAGTATTAATACTGCCACAATAAGCCTCCCAAACAAAGAAGCACACTCTTGGGGGAACAGCAGAAAGCCAAATCTTTCTTATGCAGGGAATGGGGGTTAGTTGTCCCAGAAGTCAACACACTATAGAAGGATTTAGTGAACAAGCCATCCGGAGAAGGCCCCCAGATTCTTTTGTCCTGAGTCAAATGGGAGAGGAAGACAACTGAAAGAGAGGACAGCAGGGAAAAGATATCTTGAGTTTCAGAATCTGTCAAGGCTCTCCGGAAGTTAAAATTAAAAGAGAGGCCATTGTCTCCTCTAAAGATAACTGAAGAGACAGAAGCCTGCTTTTAACGGATTAAGACTAAAAAGGAGAGGGTAGGAAAAACAGAGAGGTTGCTTGCCCAGCCAGAGATCAGTCCAAAACTTGATACTAGAGCCATTGACCAGTCTAAAACATAAAAAAGGAGAACAGATCAAGGAGGGAAGAGATACCTTTCCAGGGACTGCGAAGAGAGAAACGAGAAGAGACCTGATTGGAGTCCCATCCATTCCTGCTCCTTAGGTACTTGCTTCTCGTAACAGTAGCCCAGAGAGAAGATTGTTCCAAAGGGAATCTCCACAGCCACTTCCCAGGAGAGAACAATTTCTTTCCAGAATATGACCTAGCCGCAATCCCCCTTCTTTGATTTGCAGACCTCTTCCCACTTCACCAAGTGATCTCATTTCTTGCCTCCCCCATCCCACAGAAAAGTCCCTTTGCAATTTCCCTAATTAAATTTGCAATATAAATTATATAATGACTGTTACTTGTCAATTTATTAGGTCTTCACTTCAGTTTATTTCTAAGTTCTGACATAACTTGTGATATTGATTATGATGGTTTTGTTATTACAAATTGTAAATATGTTTTTTCAATCTTTCCCTATTTTGAGGAAATTCATTATATTTTCTATTATATTAATTAATTATCAATTAAAAAATCTATGTTCTGGAGGCTTACACCTCTTGCATTCTGGTTTACAACTTATGCCATAGGATAACGAGTGTCTCATATCACCAGGGTTGTCAAGTGTCAACAGACTCCGAAAGTCTGAAATCCAATCTGATTATCTTGGATTCAGATGACTTGTTTATATAATCAGATCAAATGCAGATTTAACTCCCTCTGATCCAATTAGAATCCTAATCCAATTATATAATAATATTTATTGATTTTAATATATAAAACATATAATAATATATAAAAATCTGCTTATCTTGGATTCAGATGACTTGTTTATATAATCAGATCGAATGCAGATTTAACTCCCTCCGATCCAATTAGAATCCTAATCCAATTATATAATAATATTTATTGATTTTAATATATAAAACATATAACAATATATATTTTTATATATTATAATATATATTTATATATATAATAATTTAATATTTCATTTTATATTAATTTATTCTATATATAAGTTGAAAAAGTAATTAACTTTTTTAATTTTCTTTATTTTAAAAAAAAATTAAGCAGAGTAGGATTAAATCCGAATCTGATTCAAGTCCAATAAGATTTGAATCCGATCCAGGATCTTTAAATCTGATCAGATTTCGGAACACATTCGGATTCCCATTTTCATTAACCAGACCGGATTCGGGTTTTTCTGAATCTGACCCAAACTTGATCTGTTTTACAGCCCTACATATCACACCTCATAGCTTTAAAACATAGCTCCAGGTATAATTAAAAGAAGTATAGTTATGCATGTACTTCAATATATGTGAGAAACCACTGCTTTGACAACTAAGAGAACATTAAGAGACTTTAACAACCGATTATGGAAACACTTATTTCACAGTCACACTACCAAAAATAAATCCTCTTGATACTATACAACGATAAAGCAAAACTTATTTTAGCATGTAATAATGTACATATGACCCTTGGTTATATTTTTTTTTTGGATCATTAACAATAAAATTTTATTAACTCAGAATAGTTACAATATTTCTGCATCCCAGCAGCTCACACCCAACCTCATACACCATTCCTTGTTTCTTACAATGGTGCCCAAAACATTTGTTCCCTGGAAACCCCTTTTTTGGCTAATGTATATCCAACCAATCTAAAAGTAACCCCCATTTCTCTTGCTATGCGTCTGATTACCCTCAACACTTGCCTATGATTCCACACACACCAACACTGTCACTTTTCATCCAGTTCACTACCAATTGAGAATCACCTTCCACCACCAAGTGCCTAATGTCCATTTGCTTGGCTAACCTCAACTGTTGTAGTAATGCAGAAATTTCTGCACTCAGAGTCAGCATGGTCAATTGGCCCAGAAAACAGAGCCAATATAGAGCCATTCCCATCTCTAAATACAGTCCCAATCCCAGCAGAGCCTGAATTACCCACCAAAATGACATCAAAGTTCATATTTCCTCAGTCATTGTCAGGTGGCCTTCACATCTCTTGGACCCTAACTTTCATGGAAGAAGAGGTGGCTACTATTCACCAATTTCTGATTATAACATCTATTGAGAAATTCTTAAACAACCCCATGGTCTTTATCCAATGGCCTCTTGTTATACTTGTATGGACATTTTTGTTTCTATCAGAGTATACCTATAGAAAAATGTCTTAAATTTTAGTTTTGTTACTTAGTAAACATCTATAAGAAAAGTGCCGCTCATCATATACATTAACTGTCCATTTATGCCAAATATGCAAGCAAAAGGAAAAATATTATATAGTACTGTTGAGTTGGAACCCTACATATATGACATGAAATTTCATTCATTTAGGAGACCCCATAGAGTCCATACAACACTGAGTTGCATGTTGACTATGGGGGTGTTCTGTAGTGTAGATGAGAAATTGGTGGGTGTGGACTGGTCCACAACACCAAAGACCACAGCTGTTCTGAACTGTGGATAGATTATGTGGACCGGACCAGTCCACACCCACAGTGGCATCCATGTATCTCATATACATTTTATGGGAGATCTACACTGTCGATCATAAATATCTAATTTTGCTTTTTATATGGTAAATAAATTGAAAAAAAAAAGGCATCAATATGTAGACAACAATTGCATTTTTTTAATAATTAAAAAATATTATTTTAAATATTAAAAAATAAAAATTAATATTTTAAATATTATTTTATTGATTTAAATAATGAAAAAAGAGTTGAGAAGGAGAACCGTCAGACTTGTGCTAGAATTAACATTAAAAATTATTATTTTATTGATAAAATGTTAAAAATTTAAAATTTAAAAATTATTAAAGATTAAATAAAATGAGTAATTGGACCAATGTAACGCACCTGCATTACACTGAAACCTTTCAACAAACTGTCCACACTATAGTATGGACCATCCACGAGAAAATACTGTGAACGATAAATTGGGGTGTGGCCTATCCCCTGTACACGCTATTTTGTGGACGGGGACCGTCCACACATAGCAGAACACCATATCTTACCGTGGACAGGACCAAAACGGTCTCGTCCACGATATTTACACACTACCGAACGCCACCAATATCTCCTGAATATCATGTGGGAAAGGAGATTGAGCCCACTTTAGTATACTACCTCTTCTAGCACAAACAGCTTCTATCTATCAATTGCAGCTTCAGCTCTGGTCAAAATCATGCATAGGCAGTTGATATATTCATGGTCCAACAGCATGGTAGCTCACACATATTGCTGATGCTAATTCTCATAGATAAATATAGATAGGAAAAAAAACTAACCTCCAGGGCATCAGCATGGCTTCTTTCTGCTGCTGAGATACGATTTTGTGCATCTAAAGTTATTCTTCCAATTTCATCCTCAAAAGCTTTTTGTTGCCTTTCATTTTCAGCAATGAGCTTGTCCAATTGTATGTCAAGCCTTCTAGCCAAACTTTTATAATCAAATTCTTCCTTTATTCTTACCATATTTTCCACCTTCATAGCCTGTTTCAATATATCTTCAATGGTCAGGAATCTCTAATTGCACAAAACTAAGTGAAGAAATTAAAAAAAAAAAAAAAAACTATAGTAGAAAGAAATAAACCCAAATAAACAATAACAATGTCAAGTCAGGAATACAATCTCAACCTGCGAAAGATATACCAACTTATGAATAGAAACAAAAAAAAAAATTGAGAACAGCACAATAATAATAATTTGTAACAACAGAAAGAGAACTACAAGTTTTAGAATAACTTCTCAAGAAGCAACAAGTCCATAAATTAAGTTTGGCAGCAAAGAGGATGTTGAGATGGATGTGTTAAAATGAGAAATGAAAGACATGGAGACAAGTGTCTTCCAATCCAAATGGCTCGTTAGGATGGATTCATAGGTCTGCTAACAGTTTGGCAAATACTCTAGGAAGGATGGGTGTTTAACACGAATGGATTAGAATGGGGAATGTCGGGGCCTGGTGCAAATTTCTAACTGTTTTTAAAAGTACTAGTGTGAATGTACTGTTTTAAAAGTATTAGTGCAAATTTCTAACACTATTACACTACTCTTCCAAGTCAACTGGAGAGTAGTCAGTATTGTTATACAAGTTAACTTTCTATTATCAATAATATTCATTGTTACTGATCAAAAAGAAAGGCTTAGTGATGAGTGCATTGGTAAGAACAATGGTTTAAAAGAAAGAGGTGCAAGAAAAGTGCAAGGGCCTTCTAGCGCCCAAGGCACAAGGAGAGGCATACACCCAGACAAAGCAAGTGCAAGTTTTTAAAATTTTCTTTCAAGAAAGACAAATAAAAACAACAATACTTCGAAAAAAAATATCATCATCATCCAAGCCTGATTAAAATTTGCAATTGAAGCATTTAGAAAAGCAAACATATAAATGACAAAATGGAGTTTTTTTAACAGAAAATATCAATAAGCAACATTTAATAGGTAGCACATTAAAACCCATAAGTTATGCACTTTGTTCAGGGAGCCAAAGAAAGAAAGATTTAACAAAAAGATGGCATTTACTACATCACAACCCATATATTCTAACATGTATAATCAAATTAAATTGTTATGACCTAACAATTGGAAGAACAGAGAGCAATTTTAAAGAAATAAAACACTGCAAATGCAATTGCTAGACCCACCCGTTGCCCAAACATTATGGTACTTGCAGTTTCTCCTCGATGCCGTGGTGATGGACCAATAGTTACAACTAATGAAGTTCGTGCAGTGCCTGTTATATCAAACATTTAAAATGTGAGGCAGTAGATATAGAAGCATCAAAATTGGGGAAACACACACACCAACTTTCCTTTAATATTAATAAATTTCACTTGATCATGTCACTGATTAAAGTTATATAAGTTAACAATGGATATGAACAGAATGGAATGGTGAAACAAGATTCATGTAGCTAACCACATATAGTTGGGACAAGGCTTTGATGATGATGTTGCTGATCAAAATATGTACTCTATATGTGAACCGTTAAAAGAGGCCATTACCCAATTTTTGGGAGGGGTGGACAGGATATGGACCTAACCTCTGTCAGTCTTTGCACAAAGTGGCTGCTCCCAGACTAGAACCTATTTTTTCACACTTGTGGTCCAAAGTCCTAATTAGTAAATACGGTAGGGGAACTGATGTTCTGGACCCATGCGTAAAAGGTCATGACTCTTGGATTTGGAAGGGAATAGCTAAAGGTTGTAAATTTCTTATGGAGGGACTATACGTGCCATTGGGAATGGAGAAGACACTAATTTTTGGGATGACCCATGGGTTACTAGGACTACCTGTAGGCAGAATCGGTTGCATGGGCCTGTCCCAAATGTTAATTTGAGGAGTGTTTAAAGACTGTATACTGCTTCTGGTGATTGGGACATCAACCTGATTTCTTCTCTCTTGCCAAGTGATATAGTTGAAAAAAATCATGGCAATCCCTTTAAATTTAGGGTCGCAAAAAAAATGACCATTGGATATGGCCTGACATTAAAGATGGTAATGTTTCAACTAAATCAGCTTATACATTTATTAGAAAAGAAAATGATCTCCCTAAAGCTCAAGCTTTTAATCTGATTTGGAAAGCTCCATGTCAACCAAGGGTGAAAATATTTTTGTGGCTGCTCTATTATAGAAAACTCTCCACTCGCAATGCTCTAATAAAGCATGGAAACGATTGCCCCTTGTGTAATGAAAGCATGGAAACGATTGATCATTTGTTTATGGATTCTAGGTTCTGTAAGGAAGTTTGGAATTTATATGATAATCATCCCACACCCACTAGTGCACTAAACTTTAAGAGTTGGGTTGAAAGTAATCTTGAGACTAGTAATGCTCTCAGGGCGACTTATTTTAGCTATTTAAATTGGCTGATTTGGAGAGCCCAAAATAAAAAAGTTCAACAATATCAGTTACACTCCCACTTATATTACAAATCTTGCAAAAAACTATGTTGACAATTTCCTGTGTGCCCAACATACTAATGCTCCTGCCAAGAATCAACCTAATTGCAACGTCTGGAGAGACATCAAATGGGAAGCTCCGGGTGACCAATGGATTAAAATCAATACAGATGGAGCAGTCAAGGGCCAGAATGGTGGTGTTGCGGTTAGGGGTCTTCTCCGAGATCAACTTGGACAACGGAAAGGAGGCTTCACCACTTAAATTGGAAATTCCTCTATCGACTTGGCAGAAATATGGGCTGTCAAATGTGGGCTTGTCTTGGCGTGGAACTCAGGCTACCGCAAAATCATTTTGGAGTCAGATTCACGTTCCACCAATCAAATTCTTAAGGGTGGTAGGGATAACCATTGGCGTCTTTCTACAATAAGCGAGGAGATCAAAGCTCTTCTGAATAGAGATTAGGAAGTTAGTATCAATCACTGCTACAGGGAGGCCAATATATGTGCCAATTTTATGGCTAATTTAGCTTGGAGCACTAAGATTTGGTATAGGGAATTCCTTATACCTCCTAGAGAGCTTAACTTTCTTCTGTTTGTTGATGTTATGGGGGTAGTCACCCCTCGCTTAATTTTGGTTTGAGTCTTTTGGTTTTTGTGCTTTGTTTTTTAATTTTGTTTTTTAGGCTCTGTCAGATGAATCAAAAAAAAAAAATCACACTTGTTAGCAGTTTTTACCATAGCACCAAGCAATGGCCCCTACTCTAAAATGGAGTACTCATCATCAGCATCCAAACTATATAGGATCTGAAATGGAGCACTAAAAATAAAAAATAGTAAGAAAGAATAGGTCCGGAGTAAGCAAGAACTGCTCAAATACCAGAAACAGAAAAGTAGTGAATCAAAGAAATGGTTGCACATGAATCATAGAAACATCCCATGCTATTTTGCTTAATAACATCAGAAGTAATTAAAATCTCCCAATGTATGAAAAATGCCACACCTCCGAATGAATCTCGAAGCAATCTCGTAAGCTTTGAATCACGGACCGGCACATGAGCACTATTCTCTGCCAGTGCATTTATGCACTTCCCTAATGCACTCAATGAGAGATTGATAGACTTAGCTTCCTCTAGTGTATGCCCCTCACTACCTGCCAATGAAGGGAATACAATGAAAACCTCACAACATAATTAAGATTCTGATAATAAAATACAAAGTAATCAGCATTAGCATACTAAAAATAATCAAAAACCATGTAATCTTCTAATGCACTTCATAAGTTTAAAATTTGCAAGTAACATGGTAAACAAGCACATATGTACCCGCACCAGGGGAATACCTACCTAATACATTCACAAGACTTAGTAATCAAAAAGCACCCACTCAATCACTTAACTTGTTAATAAGGCATAACCACAATAATTCTAAATTTTAACCCAACAGCAAGAGGTGGATATAGAAAATGTGCTTAAATGCCACATTACATGTGTTAATTGCAAAGATCAAAATTTTGCAACATACCAGCACGTCAATAATATGTATCGTATTGGTGGGTCACCAATACACAAAAACTAAGTGTTTAAAAATATATATATAAAGCAACTCAGGGTAAAGACCAATACGCCCCATCCGGCATCTGTCTGTATCAGCATTTAGAATTAGAACCTTAGTTAATAGCACAATAAGTATTGGTTGCTCAGCCATAAAAGAAAAGGGCCATAACCCAATGTGGAGGGAGCAGAGAACATGGACCTAATCTTTCACATTTCTTTGCACATAGTGGACACTTGCAGATTCAAACCCAAATTATCATGCTTGTCAATTTGATATTTTATCACTGCACCAAGTAATGGCCGACTGAATCTTATTAGGAAAAAAGTCTATTTCTATGGCTATGGTACCTAGGGAACTACCCTAGGATCTATGTTTTCTATATAAAAGCATCCATCGCCTAGGCGACTAGGCGACAAGGCGGGGCCTAACGCCCAGCCTCACCTTGGTGCCTTGAAAACTATGGTTGGCACATAACACAATGCACAATTGTTTATTGTAGTTTTATACACTTAAGCACTGCTAGGTGCCAAATAAGACAATCTATGTGGAAACACCCCCCTCCCCTCAACACCATAACCTGATGTAAAGAATGGTACAAAGGTTTGAAGTTAAATCTGCCAAACCATTGATAATATGAAGTTAAAATGCCCACATGGCACTTAAGTGGACTCTAAATGGAAAAGCAACACCATGGTCCCAAACTCTCATTGAATGCTGTTCAGTTCAGAGCAAAATTTCAGATACGAGTAAGACATGTTCATGGGCAGGGCTCAGGCTTAGCTTTTGCTAAATTTTGAATGGGCCCAGCCCGAAGCCCGAGCCTAAAACAGTGTAAACCCAAGTCTGTGAACATATCTAGGTTTGTGTGCACCTATTAGAAGCATAACCAGATGGACTAAAAGGGGGATAATCACTTAGCCGATTAGTGTCGGATACAAGTGGTAATATTTCAAACTTCAAAATGCCACCAAAGGCTTATCACAAGAATATTGAACTACTCCAGGTTCAAATGTTATTCAAGGTTAGAAACTTGGCATATATAACTGTAGAAGGGATTAATATTGGGCATTCTCTACCAACCACAAGCCATGTCAGGCCAAGTGACTGTAACTGGAGAAAGATCAGGGTGATACTTTGGGCCAATTTTTTGGTTCACCAACCAGATCTTGAATTCTTGATAGTATCTACCCCCACAAAAAAACAGCCACTTTGATCCCACATTGGACACAGTAGATGGCTTTACCAATCATCCATCAGAATGGAAACAACAATCCTAATCACCAAATGAAAGGGAACAAGTGGTCATGAGGCAACATGGCTAAGTACATTGAAAAAGGGTAAAAATCCACAAATCCTTGCTACATGAAGTAATGCAACTAAGAGATAAGTAAACAGATTTGAAGTTTCACATGCTTGAATTGAAGAGTGCTTCAAGCATATAAAACATTCAAATCTGTTGACTTTACCAACATCACATTTTCAAAGCCATTTTCTCCATCTGGATGCAGAAATGGATTTGGCAATGTGCTCCGGATCCAACCCATTTCATGCTCTACTTCAACATATGGGACATGTAACAGATATGGAAAAACACCCTAATGAGTATTTCTCTCCAACTTTTAACATTATCCAGAGATAGATGGTAGCATTCTGCAACTAAAAAAACAGGATGAGTAAAAAACAGAAAAGAGATGACAGAAGGCGAACGTAGTTCCAAATTATATGTGGTGGAACATACTACAGGCCTAAAAGTTAAAACTACAACAGCGTAGATAGCTAACCAATCAACGTAATATTTGCGACCTTGAAACACTTTTAAGGATACCCAGGTGGTTCTGCACAATAAATGATTGCATTTTGAAGCATGAGTTTGTTCACTAAATTCTATTCAACTAAAAGGATATATGCTTTTACTTTGAAGGGGCTGGAAGGGATTAGAGGTAGACCAAAAGGGACATGAGTCAAAGTAGTAAGAAATGATTTAAGCGCTCATAATTTAACAATGGATATGGCATTAAACAGAATGGAATGGCAAAACAGGATTCATGTAGCCAACCCCATAAAGTTGGAATAAAGCTTGGATGGTCATATATGCTTTTACTTCCTAATGTTAACTGCCATCAGTAGGCAAGAAGCAGAACCTGTCAACAAGAATAATTCCAGCAACAGTCAACTATTGATTTTACTCAAGAATTAAAACATTCAAGCATGGAGAAATGGTTGGAAAGGCATTAGTGACATTATATAATTTATATATGCAGTGGGCATGGAAGAACATGTTGAAGGATACTGAACACCAATTTTGCCTCCATCTCACTTTAAAATAAATATATGTCTGAGGCATAAATGATACACAAATGAGTATGTGGTATCCATTACCAAAACAATATAACAAAACCAATCAGTTTCCTGAATCAAGCGTCAAAAAGAAATTAGTAGTAGCAGCAGCACTTTAGGTACCTGATTTATCAATACGCTCTGAACCTGCAAGATCTACAACAACTAGCTTGCCTTTACGAAGAAGGGGTGGCTTAAGAGTTTTTACCAAGTGAGAAGTGTTCTCATTATCACTTGAAAGAAAAGAATCTCTTCCCTTGACAGACCTCTTAACATGGACCTGCATCAAGAGGGTAAATCTTTCGATATTCCAAAAATAATCTAAATATGGTAAAAGAACCAACAAAACAATATAATGACACCCTAATTAGCCTGAATTGCACTAAAAGAATAGTTCATCTATTCACCATTAGTATAGCATGACTCCTAGAAGATTCAGTATTCAACTTTGTGTTTGCAGCAAATCGATGAGCTTCACCCAATCGTAGCAACTCGACAAAACTCTGCTGGTCTCTGATTTCTACTTGGGTTGCCCCAGGTAATGAAACATCCCCAGTTTTTGGGTCTTCAACAATAGGAATATTATCATTTGCCGGATCAAGGAGGTCTTGGATTGTCTCCATATAAAGCTGCACATGTTAATGAAGAATATAACTAATCAACACTCACATACATCCAAAGTGAACTTGAGATGTTGGAAGCCAAATTCAAAAAACAAAAACACTGAAAAACAAAATGCAACAACTGTGCAACACTAAAGCTAAACAGAATGCAACAACCATGCAATTATCCATTGTTTTATGTGGCTAACAACCTGCAAGTAGGAAACTGAGACAGAATCAGTTTCTGGAGAGATATCTGCTAAAATGTCCTCCATTGAGCGCACCATAATGCCACGATCAGCAGTATCTTCTTCACCAAGCCGTCCAAGAGTAAAAGTCTTCCCAGTGCCAGTTTGTCCATATGCCATCACAGTCCCATTATAACCATCTAGAACACTCTATAGAATAGGATGAAACTTAATATCAGCACTTGCTGCCCAAATTTAAGACAAAAACATCAGGACTCCTATATAGTAGAAAATAGTATAACAATAATTATCTTCATCATCATCCAAGCCTAATCCCAACTATATGGGGTTGGCTACACAAATCATGTTTCCCCATTCCATTATGTTTAATGTAATATCCATTGTTAAGTTGTTTAAATTTTTCTAGTGCATGGAGAGTATCAAAAATGAAACAGATGAAAGGACATTTAGGAAAATGTAAAGCAAAGAATGGGCATATACCACTCAATGTTGAGTTACCTTTTCATATGTCTTCCATTACAATAACAACCCAATGCATTAAAATAGAAGACAAGAAGGAAGAACAAGTTCAGAAATATGTTTTTTGATAAGTAATTTCAGAAATAAAATTAGCAACCTAAGAATTTTTCTTGTACATAATTCAGCTCAACTCAAGTACTCAACACATTAAAGCCTTAAAATAATTACATGGGATTGGCTACATGAGCCCTATTCCGCTATTCCGCTCTACTCAGTATCTTGTACATCATTAAATTATGGGCTCTCAAATCATTTCTAACCACTTCAACCCCTATCCTATTTTTGGCCTGCCCCTAGCTCTTCTAGACGTTTCAACTTGCAATATATCACTTGCTAATGGTGTCAAGCTTATCTTATATGCACACATCCAAACCATCTTAGTGCTTTCCCTTATTTTATCATCTACTGGGGCTGCTAATTTTGATTAAGGGTTCAGTTATTGTTGGGTATTCTCTTTGCTTTAATTAATTGTAGATATGCTTGGGTTTACCAGAGGATTATTGATTATATAGGATTATAGGGTTCATTTGTGTTCTCTCAGCAGTGAGTATGAATAAAGGAGGTTCTTCTAGAAAGAGATTGAACCTAAGTACCTCATCACTGCAGGAAAAGATAACTTTGGGGGATGGAAGCAAACTCCAGAGGGGAATCTTCTGCTCCATCTTGATTCACGTGTGATTCTCTCTTTTTGGTGATGAGAGGAGGTAGGACAGGGAAATGGGAGTAAGAAAAAGGGCTGTGGAAGAGAAACAGAAAGGCCAAGGTAGGTTAAGTTTGATTAGGGTTCTGTTTTCTCAAACTTTAGGCTCAATACCCTGACTTCAAGTTGGCACACGCCCAAGCCATAGATGAATAATGGAAAGATATCCTCTTGTGGCTGTATATACAGCATGCTGTACAGAAAGTAGTTTTGCAGCAGATCCAGATTCACAACACAGGCCCATGTAAAAAGAGAAGGGCAAGGTAGCAAGGTCTACTAGTTGATCATGTTAAAAAACAAATTAGAAACTAGATCATGTTAGCAAGGTCTACTAGTTGATCTGTAATACAAACCTCTACAACTGGTTTTGCTACAACTTCATAGACCCGCTTTTGTGATGCAAATTCAGTGAGCACTTCATCAAACTCATATGTGTCAGAATCCCAATTGTTTTTACGAAGTTTCAACCTTTTGAGCTGTGACAGCAAGAAAACCATAAATTAGCAAGAAAAAGTAGCAACATTTAATAAATAGTGATTCTTATCCAAACCCAGATATGAAGGATGGAGATAGCTTGTAATATTCGAAAGCATGATGTACAAACCTCTGGTTGCAACTCTACACAATCAGCAAAATCGGCATCTGCTACCAACTCCTCTGCATTCCGTGGCCGCAATCTCACTGCCACTCTTACTCTTCCAGAAACTGTCCACGAATATCATAGCAATTAGAACAATGCAGAGTCCACAATCAACAAATAAGGCTTTTTTTTTAAATGCCAAACAGCTTATAAAATACTAACAAGCAAAGAGGAGCTTTTGTATTTCTAGTTACAACCAAAACTCTGATGTAAAAGTCAGCTATTAGATGACACAAAAAGAAAAATCATGGGAGAAAACAACACCAGCCCTAACAAATACTTAACAGAATGTGCTCTAACTCAAACTTAAGATAGAAATTAGTAAACAAAGAAAAATATTTAATAAGATATCACTATAGCAATTCCATACCACTTTCTCATCGGAAGTTAATCATGAAACCTTGGAGTATTTTTTGTGCCCAAAATTGCAGACACTCAGTGATGATGTTATGATTGCAAGGATTAACCAGATCAAAATACTGATTGTGTAATTATGAATAATCTATACCAGGAAGTACATAGAAAGGAAATTATAGATTCAATAATCACCCAAGTAATCCCACATAGTAAACTTGAAATTTTAAGACAAACATATAAAAAAATGGACAGTTAGAAAACCAAGAACACGGGCTTCATCCCAAAGGCCCCATAGGATGCAAAATTAAAGACTCAAATTTTTTTTTGTTGGATAAGAATTCTTGACTTTCCTGGGGAAATTATTGCATCTTAGCAAGTGTTTTAATAGGTGCACTCACAGACAAGGCTCATTTTGTGGGATGTGCCGCACTTGAATCCCGGTGCGCATCACCTTAGTTGTTGCTATGTTTTGATGAACTATTCTTAAGTTTCTTGTTGAATAGGTAATTTAACCATTCCATAGATTGGGCCTACGATTTTAGAGTTTAAACTGTTTAACTTATGTAGGAATTTGAAGGTACAAGGCTACAGCCTTAGTGTAAATGGCACCATACACTAAACAATTAAACCAATGGATGTTTTGAAATATTCTATTTCTATCAGAATTTAGATTTGAAATATCAAGTTTTTCCTTTAATTTTTTTAAGTGGCACCACATTTTATTTAGGTAAATGCCTCAGGCTTTAGGAACCCCATGCACTTTAGTTGAACTTCTCGCTTCTAAAACATTGATCTCGGCCAGTATAAATTTGCCCTACAAAACCATAGAATGGTTCACCCTTATCGTCCATACAACAACCAAAAGAAAAGAAAAAGAAAAACGTTGAACATAAGTGAAGACAGTAAAAGAAAAGGAAATGCTTCCAGAACACAACAGGGATTTCATCCTTCCTGTAAACTTCCTCCCATATCAAATCCGTTCTTAAATTCAAATGCTCAGTTTTGAAGAAGCCCACTACGTTCGCCACTTTCAGCAAACTTTATTGAGCGGAAGCTCCCAGTCTTTACGGTTCAACACAGAAACTTCAACTTTTGAATTCCAATGATAAGAAAAGTAAGGAAACGGGGGAGGCAAGAGGGAAGAGTATAGTAGCTTCTCATCTAAGCAGACCTCCATTCATTTCCACCAAATGTAAGAAAAAGTTCGTTAGTTAACATATCCAAGCTAAAAAACAGGCAAATCAATCTTAGAAAAAGCCCGAAATAAAAGCTCGAAACCCTTCCTCATAGTCGATCTCCTAGTAGAAAACAGATCTTGTCATCTTCACTCACGAATTGAGCAATCTTAAGTAAAAATGGACGTGATTCAAATTCAACATTGATACAAATTTCATACATCAAACAGAAAGAAAACGTGAAAAAAAAAAACCTCACCTGCAGAATCATCCTTCACCGGTCCAGCGGAACCACCAAGCGAACCCGGACTACTTCGCCGAAGACCATGCGAGTTATAGGGCGATGGAGAGGGCTTGGATTTAATAGAAGAAGACCTAATGTTAGAATTGACAGACAGAGGCCTATCAACCTTGACGCCCCCCTTTGCACTCCCATTTCTGTAACCAGAAGCCATATCTTCCCCTAGTTCAAAAGCTCCTCGCCATCAAAGGCTCGGAAAGAAGGAGAAATCTCGGACGGAAGCAAGTGAAACCTGATTCTATAGCGACACAGACACCACGACAGCAAAGCTCCAACGAAAACAGAGAAGAAATAATGGGAAGCAATTGAATCGCTACAGATGGGACTACTGGAGGAGAGAAATCTCAGAAACCTGTTTAAATTATGAGAGAGAAGTTTTTGAAAGCACGTACTAGATGACTTGCCGTCCGACTAGGGGGGGTAATGGGCCCACTCAGCATCTGCTCCTCCCAAGTGAAAGAGAGAGGGAAGGCCCGAACCCGATATAGGAGGGAGCTGGTCGCCGTTCAGTGGGCCCCGCTTCTTTCCATTTTTTTCCCTTTTTAATGTGAAAAAAAAATAAAGAAAAACCTTTTTTATCTCAGAGATTAACTGAAACCGCCCTCGTGATGGTCTTAAATTACGCCGACCGGTCGTATGGTGCAGCAGTGCGATTCCCTTCCAATGACCAAATTACCCTTCTTGAAATTATTTTATTATGGAATAGTACATACCGGACACCCGAGGCTCCAGCTTGGCACCGAATGTTTCGTGTTTCTCTTCTGTGGTGACAAACCAGAATTAATGTCTTTGAGGCTTGGATCTCATTTTTTTCACAATGTATATGTACAAGGGGCTGTGTTGAGTTACCGATTAGAGCCAAGATGGGTCTTTCCGGTTCTTCCGACAGGTTCACCCAGGTTAATCCAACAGACAATGACCATAATTAACATGTATGAACCGGCATAAAAACAACAAAACGAAATTAATATCTAAGAGTATCACCTCTATGAATCGTGTGATATGCAAGGTTCAAAGTATTAGCCCGTATTGACCGATATATATTGTTCCAGCACTCCTCTGATACACCCCTACAGTGGGTGTATCGGGGGTCTGACTGGTCCAGGGGATGGAGGAGGCCTAAACCGGTCCCCCTGAACTGGTTGCAGAAAAAATTAAAAAAAAAAAAACATATAAAAAAAGGGTATTGATTCATCGATATGCCCATATCGGAATATTGGGCGTATGGATATTTTGAACGTTGGTGATATGCAATTGATACTTTGAAGCTTGGGCCTAGGTGAGGTGATGCACTTAAAAGCCACGTGGCAAAAACCAACATCTTTGTAATTTACTTACCAACCTATTGTAGGTAGTCGGTCATTGTCTTACAAGTCAAATTAAGAAAGTAAATATGATCAAGGAAAGTGCCTCAGGTTCAAGAACCTACCTACACACAGCTTTTACTAATTAATTAATTAATAATAAACAATGGTAGCATAAGGAGAACAAAGGGACAGGACTAAATCACAATTGCACCAAAAAAGTAAACATGGATATCTTACCATAAAGTGAGTTATAAGATAAATAAATGGTAAAAGTGGTCTGGTCCCACCAGTCCGGACCATAACCATAAGCTGCTGCCACCCCTAACCCTAATTTCTATTGACTGAACATTTTGCTTGATGGGTAGAGTAGGAACTTCACCCCATTTGATATTGATAAGAGAACGAGAGAGAGAGAAAGGGAGATAAAGTTGGAAGAAGAGTGTAAGAAGGGGAGAGAAGGCTTATTGGGAAATGATGAGAGAGAGTGTAAACCATAAAAGCAATTAAAGTGATGATGATTAGGTCTGAAACCTTCTTTCTTCTGCTTACAAACATAGATAAAATACTCAAAGGCGCCAAAAAGAGTATTGAACTTTATGAAGGGGAGGGTTTGAAATTGTCATGTTTTTCACCCTGATATCCTTTTGGCCTGAATTTAACACAAATTTCCCTCCAACCTCCATATGCATCTTTTGGCATCTCTACAAAGCCCAAAATCCCATATGAAATGAAAATGTAAAATGACCCACATGTTCCTTCCATTTCAACTTTAGTGGCGGAAATGTTGGGGACAGTAGACCTAAGAAACAATAAAGCCCAATTACAAAGTATAGCTTGAGTATGAAGGATGTTGCTTCATCTTCATTATTAGTCATTCTCATGGCGTTTTGACCAGAATGAATGCTGTTTTCAGCCGTGTTCTCTTTATAGGTTGGCCCGGACCCACTAACCCTTTACTGATCCACCTTTGGTCTTGGTTTTGGGTGGTTCTATATATGTGGGGTTGCAATGGATTGGACTGAATTAATTCACACAGGGGTATATTTGAATCGTAGAGATTCAAATTCGATTTGATATTTGACAGATATGTGAAACATTAACTGGTTTGAATTTGATTCATTTACATAGCTAGAAATACAAGTGTAACTAAGGGTGTCAATGGATCGGTTTTGGATTGGACTCCGTCTGCTCCAAAATCAATTTGGACGGATTGGACGGACCAACAAGATATATTGGATTGGACCAATCGAGCCAAAATATTTATTAGATTGGATTGACCTGGTCCATCCATAATAAATTTATATTGGATTAAGCCAATATCTGGTCTATTATTGATATAAGATAAGAATATAGGTGTCAATGGACTAGGTTTGGGTTGAAGCCAATCTAAATCAAAATGAATGTGAACAGATTGGATGGTCCAAATATTGAATTGAACCCGTCCAAAATGATCCAAAATATTCGTTAGACTGGATTGGACCTGGCCCATTTATAATGGACTCACATTGGACTGGATCGGATTGGACCAAATCCAACCCAATTGGCACCCCTAAGTGTAACTGGATTTGGGCATCTAACTATATTGTTGTTGTTCACCAACATAACATGCCCTATGTTGTACCAAAGAAATAGGGTACAAAATTGCCCCGGGGCGGGCCCTTACACAAACAAGATGAACAGTCTAAAAAAGTTTGACGAAAGTCTGAGCTAGCTTGCTGGTAAAGTCTCTGGCTGCTTGTAGTGGAGACCGAGACTTAAGCCCCACCTACCTACATTAGGGCCACCCCTCTGGAAAGATCCCTCTTTTGGTGGGGAGAAGAAGAGTAAAAGAGCTTGTGTTCTACTGAAGTACTGGAAGATTCTTCTTTCTGGCCAGGCCTATCGGATGCTGCAGGCCAGCAGCAATGGAAGAGGAATTTATTGAAGTGGAAGTTTATGATTTGACTACATTATATGACATTAAGGTTGTGTTTGGTGAGAAAATTTTGGCTGTTTGGAAAATACAACGTTGGCTGTTTTGAAGCTTCATATACTTCTACCATAAAAAAGAAAAGAAAAGGTTCACATGCATAGCAGTTGAAAATGGGTGTTGGGTAAAAGAATAATTGCAGTCAATTTTTTCATTAAAATGTAAACAAGGCAAACAAGGGACTGAGTGGGGTAATGTATTGTGTGCAGGAAACCCCCAAACAGCCAAAGTTTTTCATGTTTGGTACTATTGCTGTTTCTACCTGAAATGTTTTAGGTTTTTCAATATAAATGTATGAGATATTTTTTTTTATTTAAAACATTTTAGGTGGATCAATACAAATTGCTATTTTTACCTTAAAGATCGATTTGATGATTCAGCTCTATGTCAATTATTAGTATCATTAATGCATTTTTCTAGGTTAAGTCAATCTCATTGGACCAATTTGTATTTGTTCTAATGCAATAAGTACAATTAGAGAATGACACCCCTGGTAAGTACAGGGCCACCGGGCCAGTATTTTGATATTTTTTATTCATGTATTCTAATAAATTTTGTTTGGCATCCATTTTTTTGTTTGACACTCGTGCTAAGAAAGATCAGGTTTTATTTCTAAATAATAACCGTTTTTATGTATCACACATTATTTGAAATGAGTTTTTACTTTTTTTTATTTTATTTTAGTGGAGATAACTATTATAACCTTTTTAGGGTGGAAGTAACTACTCGTTTGAACCTTTTTTGAGTAGGTAGACACATGTGAGGAATGAAGCTTTTGTTTGAAAGTGAGAATAACTGCTTTTGAGATATTCTTTCTTAAGAAAATAAGATGCCACTTGTGTGAGGGGTAAGCTCTCAAACAAGATGTGTCATATGCTATTAGTGAATATCTTTTTCAAGAAAAAGAGTTTATTAATAATTAAAAGGAGGAGGCATGAGACCTTACCCTCAAATCAAAAAGATAGGAGCCAAAGCTTGATACAAAGGAAATGCCAAAAACAAAAGAACAAGAGTAACTTAAGAATAACAAAGTGGTAGCCTTTGTTTATTCTAAAGGATCTACGAACATTTCTTGAATGAAATGTCTCCTAGGTCTTATTGGATTTAGAATTTTTTTCTTCCTCTTACTTTTTAGTGTCACTCAATCCTGATTTCAGCCATTTGTTTTCTTGAGTATACAAGTTTTAATCGGATTCTTATCCATAGGATCACCTTTAAGGATTAGTTGTATGAATAGAGGTCATCATGCATATATCATCAAAAACACCCTCAGTTCTGTAACCATGAGATCTTCCAAAAAGTAAGTGTACAATGTCATGGATTCCAATCTCCATGTCACATGACTCCATTGATTTACCATTGGCCAAAGATACTAGGGATGGCAATTTCAACCCTATTGGATGGGTACCTACTCCAACAAGGAGGTTTTTTCCTAAAATGGATTTTGGGGCAGGGATGGGTTTTGGGATTTTACAACCCATATGGGTATGGGTATGGTGCAGTATTAGGCTAAACTTGACCCTCCCTGACCCACATATTGTTAGAAGGAATATGAACTTATGTACTAGGTGTTAAATGTAATAATATTTTGAATTTATGTGAAGAATAATTTATGTGTTTTTACCTATTTCATCAAATAATTGGAAATTTTGATGCTTGTTCATGCTATTTCAATTGTTTATTACCTGCATATAATAGGAAATTAGGCGTGGGAACTTACCCCACTCTCAAATGTGGGAAGGGTAGGGTTGAGAGGGTTTTACAATTTCATGTACAAGGAGAGTTTGTATTTGAAGATCCAACTTGTTACTGGTTTTGGGAGGGTATGAGTAGGGAGATCTAGGGAGGTAGGTAGGGTCCAAATTTTACAAAGCCCTCCCTGAACCCACCATCCCTAGAAGATATGGCTTGTCATCATCGCACTATTCATTTACTTGTTTTGTTTTTGTCATCTCTTGCAATTCTATGTCAAAAAGCTTATGACTACCTTCCTATGCTTAATTTTCCTAGTTCTTCTTTGTGTCCTTATCAACATTTTATCAAATACTTTTTGTTGATTCCATCTCATGTTGTTCTGGGACTTGCACAAGTGTGTCATAATTTGCACCATTGTTCATAGAATCATTTTCCCAAACACTTGACATGTCCCCAATGATAGCAGGTTGATCATCAAGAATAT